AAAGCATAAATGTGTGCGTCCTTCACCTTTTTTCTCTGCAAGAATGACTGGAGCCACGTACGGGGAGAAAGATGGACGCACTACACCTTGCTTCAGAAGTAAGTCCACTTGCCTGACAATTTCCTCTTTGTCCGCCAGGGAGCGTCGATACGGTGGTCTGTGGACGGGGACGTTGTTGCTGAGGGCAATGCAGTGTCGTTCATCGGCGATACATCCGAAGTCCATCTGAGACTTTGAGAAAATGTCTTCGTAACTGTGAAGCACCTCTCTTAAAGCAGCTTGTTGCGATGGTGGAAGGTGCGTGACATCAACGGCTTGGAGAGGGGTTGTATCGGCACTGAAGACACACTTTTGTGTTTGAAAGAAATTCTGCAAAGCTCTGTTGTCCTGAAGCAAAGTCATCGTGTTTAAATCCAGTCTCAGGTTGAACAAGGAGGCGTTGTCTAGGCCTAGCAAGAATTCAGTCTTCATGCCTGGTAGAACGTGTGCTTGGACTTTCCGCTTTATCTTCCCTATTTCCAACTGTATGTGTACGCGGCCCAAAGTTTTTGTGGTTGAGGTGACTTGTTGGACAGTAATGCATGGATCCTTGAGCAACTGCAGCTTGAGTTTTTTGAACACAACTTCATTGATACAGGTAACAGTCACTCCTGTATCCAGATGCGTTCACCATGTGTCCATTCACAAGTGCACCAAAACCCATTAATGAAGCTTTGGGCCACCCTCTTCATTTCTTTGGTTGTCAGTTAGAGCATACACCATTTCACGACGAGGGCACTCATTGTGCCAGTGAAACTGATTCGGCAAACCAGCAGATGCACAATGTCGACACTCACTGTGAGGGGTGCGCATCGATCGTGCAGGGAGTCATGGTCGCGCAGAATGAGGCTCTCGACGCATGAGCTACCGTTTTGACGAGTGTTGGGAAGCGTCTCTGTGGACAGAGTCTACCGCTTGAAGCGCAGCAGCAAGCCATTTGGCCGGGGTGGTGAGCGTTAATCCAGCGAGGCGCCTTTCTATCTCTTCAGGTACACCATCGGTCAATCCTGATACTATGTGAACGTCTTTTAAGTCTGCGAGGCGACCAAGGTGTGTCTTCTCTTCGTAGTAGTGCCTGATGCGATGCTCTCTTTTGAGCCTGCAGTGTATGAATTGGCGGAAAGGGTCGCTAACAGGTGCAGAAAATCGTGATACCATGCTTGTTTTGATGCCTTCCCACGTATCTTCTGCGTCGAAAATCTCGGTGAGGTACCAGCGGAATGCTTCACCTTCCAGGTCCTCGCTGATGCAGTCGATGCGATCTCGTTCGGACCAGCTGACGTTGCTCGCCTTCGTTTCGAAGAGGTGCAACCACTTGTCAACAGGGACGTCGTCTTCAGCTCCGGTGTATTTCGGCAGGCTGTTCATCATCTTTGGTGGGCTCATGATGTTGCTGTGGTAGATCCTGTCGACTTAGTGTAACGGATGATACATGGGGTCAGTCAGAACACCATGCAGTTTGATGCTGATGCTGATGACCTTTGATGGATGGCGCTTACCCACAAAGGGGGATGGGCCAAGAACCGGACGGCAGGATACTTAAATGAAACTAAACTGAAAATGAAGCCAATCTGAAAAAGTAGCTTAAAATAATACTACCAAAAAACAAAAATGTGTGCTGAGCAAGCGGTCAAACCATCTTTTGTTTTTGAAAGACATAACTACGAATCATAAACTAAAGATCTGAAAAGGTAGTGGTTCACTAGCATGGTAATCTTTTAGTTGCGTTGATGTAATCAAACACAGCGGAGCATACATCCCTGTGGCAGTAACCAAATGAAGTTCCGCCAAGTGATAAAATTACTGGTAAATTTACTTGTATTCCGAGCTTTTGTAGTGGGTTTACTAAAAATATTTTTCTCTGATAAGAATAACGATGACAGAATAAAAAGAAATGTTCAATTGTTTCAATTTCGTTGCAGTTTCTTTTGACCCTTCGTCTTCCTCATCTTCCTTCTCCACATTCACCTGAGAAGTGTCATATATATACATATATATATATATATATATATATATATATATATATATATATATATATATTTCTGAGATCTAACAGACAGAAATGCCAAGAAATGTAAGGGGAAGTTATTAGAACCATTGACCAATGGAATGTGAATAAGAAGAAATAAAAGTGGGTGAAAAAATAACCAGCCGTGAGCAGGAATCGAACCTATGACCTTCGAATAACGCGTTCGATGCTCTAACCACTGAGCTATCACAGCGGCCTTCCCTCCATCCACTTTTTTGGGTTCTTATGTGAATAAAGAAGTAGGAGTGTCAGTCAGCGCCATCTATAAGCCAAGCGACGAGTGTGAAACACTTTTAAGCGCCCACTTTTTTTTTCAGCCACTTTTCTTTCTTCTCATTCACATTCCATTGGTTCTAATAACTTCCCCTAGACATTTCTTGGCATTACTGTCTGTTAGATCTCATTATTATTGTGTCAAAACACGGAAAAACGTGCCCTTAGTTATACACTTCTTTCCCTTTTATATATATATATATATATATATATATATATATATATATATATATATATATATATACTGTAAAAACTGTTCGTTAGAGCGTAAAGCTCACTGGTGTCCTCTCAGTTCGTGGGAAGAAGAAGAAAATGGCCGTGGATGCCAACAGACGTAGTGCTGTTATTGTAGGTACGAAGGCAATGTCCTTCTTCAGTGGACCTTACGGAAAACTCTAGAAGTTGGCTGCTCTTATTAGTTAATTTCTAGCCGAAATGCCACTACCAGGCCACTTTTTTGGGTGCACGATGTGTTAACTGAGAGCTTGGGTGCGTGTAACTAACACTCGTTTTTTCGTAGTTCCTCTTTAATCGTTTTACTGTGATATGAATACTCTTGACGTCGATTTACACTCAGGCAGAGGGGGAACGCCCTGTCTGACTTGGAGAATGCCGCGGCTACGGAAAACAAGAGGGAAGCTGCCATATAACCAAATGGGAAGATAGCCGCCAATTGGAAACTTCAAAAATTATTTTCTTCCATGAAACAAAAAATGTAACAATAAAACTTGGGATAAAAAAAAAGAACTGCTTATTGCTTTCCTGTTGGATATAAATGTTATCCTAAATTAGACCACCACGTGGTGCAAATTGGCCTCATTGTGGACAAAGTTGATGATTTTGGGAAATTTTGATTATTTTCTCCTAAAGTTTTTCTACTTGAGGGGTGCAAAGGTACCTTTTTTGCAAAATATACCTTCTATGGAGTAATTATTAATTTCTCAGATATTCATTAAAAGAGCAGTAATGTAATATAAAAACTCCAAACCCAACCCCTTTCGGCTAAATAATTGTAGTGTGTGTGGCTCAAAAATTGCACTAATAATGATTAGCTTAGAACACCTTGCACAGTCTCCATTACTTATTATATAAGCTAAATTTGTCATTGAAAGAGGAAGTGACACTGTAAAAATTAAATTTTTTTCACGAACAACACTCATACGACATTTGAATAAATTCGGAAAGCGCTCACGTGACCACAATTTTTTTCTTTTTGAAGTATTCTAGTGATTCACTACTTTCAATGCAGTAAATCAGCAGGATATTTCTTCGAATCGATTTGAGGTGGTCGCCAAAATAGCTGGTATGTTTGGCGTGGATTGAACCCACTACGAACGGCACTGGCAGCGAGTAATGCTCCCGGCTTGGAGCTAAATCATCAGCGCGTTTGTGTAAGGAATGACTAGGATGAAAGGAGAGGTGGAAAAAGGGAAGATAAGGGTCTGAACACCTGCACCCTGCGTGCGCCTCGGAGAATGTGGCGGCAAGGGTCACGTGCTGCCGCCGCACGATCACAATCTACCAAAAACACAACGAAATTACTCAAAAATATGTGAACATTGTTTTGTGGAACATGCGCGCCTTCCTAACAGAACTTCGGTGTTTTGTCAATTTTTCATAATTTTTATTCATTATCTCTTTAAATGGCAGATAGTGAAATTTCTAGAGACCACTACCACACGGAGTCCTTCATAATAATAGAGGGGTGTTGGGACGCAAACATTTCTCGTTTTCTTGTTGTTTTTTTGAGGACTACACGCCACGCGCATTACCCCCCCCCCCTTTTTTTTTGGCACGAACACACAACACCCACACTTGTTTCATATAACTGATAATGTGGCACAGCGGCATTGTTCTAAGCGGGTTGTTTTGCCAAAGAGAGCATATAAACATTGGTGGTTCCATCTCATTATCCTCACTGATATGCCGTTGAAACCAGTATCGATGTAATGGTGGGTTCCACACGTTCTTATGAGCTTGCGAAAATTTTTGAATTATTGTGATCCCTCTGATGTGAAAACTCATATGTTCTACCATCAATCATTTCAGGGTTGTCAGATTGCGCGTACAACAACAAATAAAAAAGCAAGTGTGTTGAAATTAACAGAGCTGGTGCACAATCTTTTTTTTTATTCTCGGTAAGGAAGTTTTTTTTTTCTGTTTTGTTCGCTTCACAATAAAAAAGTGGTCGGAATTGCAAGCAAAAGAAAAATAGCGTATACGTGCTTTGCACAACTGAATGCGTGAGTTCATCTCGTCAGTCAAACAGTGCGTACGTATAATTTCACGGTGTACTTATAATGTTTTTGCATGCGAAAGTTAACTACGTCATGCCCACCATTTCTACGAACTGTCTTATTCTCAGGTACACAGGTTATTGTACTGCAGTGGAGGTGTAGTGGATACAGCGAGCTTATACTGTAACCGCAAAGCATGGTTTCAATGTTGTTTCTACAAGAAACTCTTCAGAGCGTGGACCCCTTCGATACAACAGAACACAGCGCGCGCTGAAGCATGCGGCCGTGCGTCGGCTGGCGTGCCGGCTCGCGATAACAACTATCCGACGTGGTCCCGTGATGTACGTACGCGGCGCACGGAGGAAGGAAAATTGCTTCCTCCAAGACGCGGAGCAAGCAGGGTCGCACATGCGCGGCGCTTGCCAGCCAACATGGACGCTTGTTACGGCGGTACGTCGCGGTCGAGGACCCGTTAGAAACGACCTTGTTCAACGGCGATTTGCGACAAGACGCGTATTCGTTGCCTAATTCTGATCGGCTAACCTGTGGTTGCGTGAAGTCGAAGAATATGCCACCATAAGTTTGCGCAAGGTGTTGTTAACCTCACTGCTTCGAGTCACCATTGTGTCGGAGCTTTCCCGCCAAGCTGACCAGCGAACAAGTTTTGTGGATTTCGGTATCAGGTAAGTCCTATCTTACGGCTCTCGTGAATTTTGCCCGCCTTCGGCCTCTTTCGACTGCCGACAAAATGCTCATGCCTTGAATGGTTACGCTGCTTCGAAGTCGCACAGAGGATTACTCGAAAGCGCCTTTTTTTTTTTTTTTTTCTTGTCACATGTGCGTTTACTGCGTGCTTGCGAATTCTGTGCAACGGAGTCGCGTGCCCCTGACCGTGAAATTGTTTACCAGGGGTTTAGTGGTGTGGGCTTGATAGCTGCTGTCCCGTGTCGCGTTACAGTACGCATTTCGTTATAGTTGACGAAAATTCCTCTACGTCGCGGGTGAGGGACCGACAAAACTGCGGATCCCATCCTTTTCGTTGCAGTTGCGTTATCAGGCGACACGACCGAAGTTCAGTTGGCGTGTTCCGTGTAGATAAACAAGACACTTTTATTAGCAGGGGTGTGACAGCTGGGCTGTATCTGATTGGAATAATGCACTTATGAAAATTAGCGTGGCATATTCTACCAGCAGCATTTATTTTACCGTTTGCAGGTCTTCTGTCGGCAGCAGTCGCTCAAGTTACGTCCATCTTGTTGTCCTTTTTGGCTCTCGCTATTTTCGCAGGGACCGTTGGTGATTTTCATGTCTCAGTTAGGCGCCAGTGAGCTACGCTGTAGAGCATCGCGGCTCTCGTTATTTGGCTATCAGAAAAAAAATGTATTAAAAAAAAACAAAACGCAAACACCATACGGATGAGATCACCTGATTGGTTGATTGATTGATTGATATGTGGGGTTTAACGTCCCAAAACCACCATATGATTATGAGAGACGCCGTAGTGGAGGACTCCGGAAATTTAGACCACCTGGGGTTCTTTAACGTGCACCCAAATCTGAGCACACAGGCCTACAACATTTCCGCCTCCATCGGAAATGCAGCCGCCGCAGCCGGGATTCGAACCCGCGCCCTGCGGGTCAGCAGCCGAGTACCTTAGCCACTAGACCACCGCGGCGGGGCTCGCCTGATTGGAGCAACCCCGAGGGATGCACAGCGCGTTAGTACGGGCGCTTCCCAAGCTCATAGGGCGAAAGGGGACGAAGAAGCTGCCTTCGTTGTAACGGTTTGGCAATAGTGCCGGCACATCTACTCCGAGCGGTATAGCCCCCGTTGCCGGGGCTATATCTACTTCCGCCAATGCCTGCACCTTGCGCCCGCAAGTTTTTCGAAGAAAAGCAGCTCACTCAGTTTATGAATGAAGGGGTTCAAAGTTCATTTAGCGGCTGCCGCCTTTAACTGCAGCTCAATGAAAGACTGTGAAGGTCTCTGAAATATGCCGTCGTCATTGCTCTGAATGTTTGCAGTGATATCGCTAGCACTACTTGGTATAATGTAGTATGACTGTTGCTGGTAAACATGTTGTAATATATACTCTATTTTAAAAATATTTTGCCCTTATCTTGATACCCAGCATCAGAGAAAAGGTGACATGCGGAAAAATTAACAATGGAAATCGAACGTGAAACTGAAATACACTTGCATTTTTATTCAAACGTTCATGTAATTAGCATTAGTCGCATGCCTTTATTAAAAGACTTCATTTATTGCTGTCACTTGGAGTTGAAGCCAGCGGTGCTTGTTGGAATGGGTATCCTTAAATTTGGCCAGGCCACTTTGCTGTCTGTGCAACTTCAGAATATTTCGGAAGCACCAGCTGGACAGTGAAGCGAGTGCAATACGTTGTCATTTCACATTGGCTTACTAGTGTGCAAGTGTTAGTGAAATTCAGCACTTTGCGTACTTTTTATAGATGGCACAGGATATATACTGTAAAATCCGAAGTGAGTGTTTCAGCCTTCTTTGGAGGATTTCAAATATGCGGCTACTTGTCTTCTCTAACCATTTTCACTCTTCTATACTGTTTATGTGCCAAACTAAAACAGTTAATGCATGTGTGTGTAGCTTATGAAGAACAATGCTGCACTACCCCTCCCCCCTCTCTATCTTCAAAGGACGAAATGCTGCTGCCATACTGGCTTTGTTTTCGTTTGAATGCCTAAGTTTTTTGCTGCGTACTGCAGGTAGCAAACAGAAGTGCCCCGACGAGCTGTGCAGGGCTGGCCACGCGGTGAGCCAAGCATCCCATAAGAGGTGCTTCTTCAGCATCTGTGGCTAACTCAAAGGTAATGTACAAAGTTCCATTTATTGAAGAAGAGTGTTGCTTTAAGCTAGTCATGTCGAAGTGAAAAGATTCCACAATAAGTGAGGGTATACAGAATAACATCATCATGTATGCTACCTACCAAGTTAACATTACTCATGACAATGTGTTAATTATGTGCAACCTTTATTTGAGGGAGAAGTGCAATGGTTTCCATGAATGAGCATAGTTGGAAATTGCTGCACAACCAGTCACTGTGTTTTTGCACTCAATAATATGTGGCCTCCCACTGAGATCAAGCTGCTTGAAATACACAACACTAGAAAGGCTCTTGCTAGCTATAATAAGAAATTATTGTTATCATAGTTCTTAGTTCCGATAAGTTATCCTGTAGAAGTGTACTCCACCTATTTGTCACCATAGCAAGTGCGTTTCATCTGAAAACGTGACTTGGTTTCGCAAACTGTTGCCTTTCTGTAGAATGGGGTACTTGCAAGTGGAATTTCGCAAAAACTGTAAAACTTTATTGTTTCTTGCAGTAAGCATTGCTATCTTTCTTGTAAATGTATGCATTGTGTGAAGAATATTGAGCCACTTTTAAATTACAACCTTATCATTGCAGTGTCTTGGACTCTTTACTGTATGCGACTTGTCTCTGCCAAACATAAACCTAGCTTTTACCATTTTTCAGTATCAATTGCCAATTTTTCTGTTTACATTTGCAAGCACACTTTCACCTATGATGCTAAACAACAGGCTTGAGTGATGTGCCTGATTCTTGTCTATGAATTTTATAGAATACCTAAAATGAACTCTTCTACTTGGCGCAATTATTGACTATTGTGTGCACATTCTATGCATCTAGATATAAAAATAGAGAATGCAGATTGAATACTGTGTTCAGACGCTTGTATACACTGAAAAACCTTGCTGGTGCCAAAATTTGTTGTGGATGTACAGTGAAGCGACTGGTAGCTAGCAATACTGCATTGTTACAGCTAATTGCGCAATGGAGCAGTTTTCAGCTGCTCACGTAGTTCGAGCAGACGTTGATCACATTCACTGTGGTACGACATAGCCACAAAGTTCATGCGTCTGCATCCTGCATATTAGGAACCCTTATGTAAAGCAACATAATGCTGTGATGGGGGCAGCTAAGTGAGAACTGTGTTTTCTCTGTTTGTCAGTATCATTACACAGGTTTGCTAAATGCACTCGAATAGATTCAGCAGGCACTTGCAGCTTACTGCATTATCCAGAAAGTCCATTATTTTGTGACACCGTAACGTTACAGCTTGCACACTCATTTCTTGGGAGTGGGACATTACAAGAATTATAATTTCACGTATTATGCACAATTATCCTATTATTTTTTATATTGTATTTTAAATTTATGCTATTCAACTGCTTCATCCTCAACTAAAGCTTAACTTCTGCTGGATTGCCTCATCGGTGAAAACAAGAAACCAGGCCAGGGTAAGCAATAAGGTGCTCCATTATAACAGAAGAGAGTTTTGCTGTGGCTGTCTATAGCTGAAAAATTTTTTTAAAGGCACCAATGAACATTTTATGAGAATGTTTACGGAGAATAATTGTGTTGTGCTACTTTTGTTATCACAGGAATCACCTACAAAAAGCAGTGATACAAGAATGTGAGCCACAAGTTCTTTTCAACGAATGGATCAGGTGCCTGAGAGCCACGGGCCGGCTGCTTCTGGCCTACACAGACAGTGCAGCCACCACAGTAAAACTCTTGCAAAGGTGTGAGACATTCCTATGTTACATAGAGTGAGCATGTTATTTGTCAGTTTTATAGCTGATAGGAATATATGTCTGCAAAAGGGATCCCCTGCACAGTGTGTTTTGCATCATCTCAAAGTGCCATTAAACAGCTTTGGCTTTCTCTTTTTTATTTATCACCTTCCGGACCATTTGCCATTAAACAGCTTTGGCTTTCTCTTTTTTATTTATCACCTTCCGGACCATCTTGCTAATTCATACAGAGTGCTGCAGCAATCGCATTGTGTGAGTATCACAGAAACTTCATTTCTAAAAACAGTTATAGTGACCCCTTCATGCCGGACCAGTGTATACTCTTCGCTAGTGATGTGATGTGATTTTGCACTGACTGTCAGTTGGTTCTCTCTGCAATACGAAATAGTGTTTTGGCCTTAAAATTACGCTATATGGATTGTGTCATAGTGAGGTGTGCTGCATACTTGTTTATCTCATCTATGCCTTCCACAGTACTTCTTCACCATGCCAATGTAGCACAGCGACACATCGACAAGGCTTAGTTTTCTTTCTTAGTTGATGGCTGAATGTTGATTTCACAGTCATTGATGTCATGCTTTGTTACCATGTGACTGTAGTCATGATGGTAACGTATGCGTACCCCTCTTCACGATGAGAACGATTGAGAAGCCGAGTGAGAATCTGAGAACTTGTAGCTACAATGTGTGTTTTATTGGCTGTGACTTCATCATTTCATCATGTGAACACAAAATTTGTGGCAACGTGCTCACATTTTACCATGTTGCAGTTATCAGAAATTTCAGATGGTTGGGTTGTTTAGTAGCTTTTTGCATTTCAATTATGAATGGTCAATTTATGCACTGCATGGATTTATTGATTTATATTTTGCAATGCTCATCTGTGAAATAGTCTGCAACTTCTGACAATATTTATGTGTTCATTATGCGAAACATTCTGTGTGTTCAATATGTTCATCAACAGCAAAAGTTAGCGGGACACGAAATGTTCGATGAACCTAAATTCTCACTTTGTCTAAGAATGTGATTTTGAAAGAAATAGGTCATACTGCACTTCGCATTCCGACCTATGCAGTCACCATTCTAATTACAAGTGTTAAGTACCAACGTAGCGGAATTTGCATTTGTTGTGGATTCAACATCTACCAAGCTTTTCCTGTTGATAGTACTTTCATGAATTTTTCATGGCACAAGAGCCGCCTTCTTTCTCTGCTTTTGCAGCTACATAGCTGGCAGTTCATTGCTTTGCTGCTTTGTTTGCCTAATACCTATTCAACCAGCGCATCTAAAATGGTGTTTCGAGTGTACTTGCATCATTAAGTGTTTAATATTTTATTAGTCGTGGAGCTTTTTTGGTCTTTTGGCTTTTACTTTTTGGCAACTTAACTGCTGTTTTCAGAGCAATCAGTAGATATTAATATTGACTCTACTAAGCTCTGGTTCAGAAAGAAGAGCTGAACAGTTGCCAAGGTGCATGGCTTGTGCCACAGCATTCTGGGTTAAGAGAAATAGATTCTAGGTCGGATAATATGCGGCTCCTTGCTAGTTGCCTGTCTTGCTTTTACTTAGAGCTGTCTTGTCTTGCTTTTACTTAGAGCTCTTGTCATAGTCTTAAAATTTATCTTATGTTGCTTACAGCTATGCTACCATTGAACAACCCCCGCACTGAATGAATTTGATCTCTAGGGCACTAGTTGCACTTTTTGAATGAGGCGAAAATGCTAGAGCTTTTAGTGCTTTTGAATTGACATTCACATTCAAAACCCCAATAATATTGTTACATCAAATGAACGAAGTGGTAATTCTAGATTATATACATATTTCCAATAGGAGAGATGAGCTGCTTAGTAAGTTGGTATTCATCTTAAAAAGGCAGGGCTTGCAAACATGGACTTCAGAGAGTAGACAAGACACCGCAAACACTAACTGGAACAGTTGACATTAAGCTATAAATGAAACAAGACAAGTGGAGATATCAAACAAGATGGCTTGCCTGTTGGTCTGTGTGAGAGATAACTCCTCAGCATTTGATTTTTTCATTGAGTTATTCAATGGTTGGCTCACACATGCACTACCATATGTCGCTATGCCAAGCCTCAACCATCAGATGCATTTCTTCATTTCTGTGCTTGTACAAAACATCATGATTCGAATTTGGGCATACATTTACGTCGTGATATAAAGATAGGTTTATTATGGGCCTCTGGTTAACTGTGTTGAATGTTTAGTTAGTCTGCCTTCTCATTGTTAGTTTGCATTTGAAGTGTCCTGACTCACCTGCGGCCATGTTGGCAAGCCCAGTCTTTTCAACATGTATGCATATAATGCGTAAGGAAAATAGGTTATTGAGTGAGTATTGAGAAGTTAAATTTATGTCTAGTGTAAAATGTAGTTTCTGTTTTCTTCTGTTAGACTTCTTGCTTAACAATGACTGAGAAATATTTGGAGCCTGCTAATGGGGTATAAGATATACATACACAAAGCAGCAGCTGTTAGCATGCTTTCAAGACTGCTACCTCATGAGCCGAGAAAGTCAAGTTGTGTTACATGGGGCATGCTAGAAAAATCGAATTGTTTTTAATGTTTTTTTGTTTTCTCGACAGACATTCTACAAAAACTGGCCCAAACGCGGACGGAAGGCAGTACAGATGGACACACAGGCTGCTTCAGAAACTGTGACTGAGCATTAACCTGTAAGTATTTGCGAGTTCATGGTCTTGTCATGTTAGTCTGTGAAGTTGTTTCTTGACCATTTGCAATATTTTCCAAAACTGGTGCTTTGATGCCTCAATGTGGGAAAAAGTTCTTCCAGCCCTACTTTTGGAGAAAAACTTTCTAATACAGCAGAGGCCTTTGAAACAACGTGCTCAGAAATTGAGTTATGGGAGAAAAATAACTGACACATCATTGTTGCTTCATGCTTTTACCACAGTCTTTGTTTCTTTGTCAGCGAAATTTCATGGCTATGGTATCGAAATAATTTTTGTTTCAATTTATGGCAATGTTGGTCGTGAGGAAACATGGCAAAATGGTACTCTCCCATGACCCGCAGGTCGCCGGATTGAGTCCCGGCTGCAGCGGCTGCATTTCCGATTGAGGCGGAAATGTTTTCGGTGGTCTAAATTTTTGGAGTCCTCCACTACGGCGTCTCTCATAATCTTATGGTGGTTTTGGGACTCCACATATCAATCAAATCAAACCAAACATGGCAAAACGCAGTGTTTTTTGTATACTTTTTTACAAGAGTGATTCTTTCTTGTAGAGTAAAATTACATCGCTTGTTTTAAGGGCATTTATCAAGAGTTAAAAATACTTCTGACTCTAAAAATTGAAGACTCCTTCACACATTTTTACCCGGAGTTCTTTGGCTAATAAAACAGAGATTAAAGCATTAACGTAAAGGGTGAGCATTAAATTGAGAAGAAAGGCTTACTGTCCATATCTTAAAATACTATCAAACACACATGACAGTTGTCTTATTATGGCAGTAGTTAAGATGACGATAAGGGGGGGGGGGGCTTGAATGAGGGTCAAATCAATAAAGAAAGTTTTTTTTTTTGGAGCCAATCAAGATTTTTCAAAATGAGGTCGTTTTGAATGTTTGAATGTTTGAACAAATATCGTTTGTCTAAGTCGTGGCAGTAACCCTGATACGATTTGCTGCTCTGGTAAATGGATGCCCTTTTGTCGAATCGCTCATTTTTACCATCATGGACATGGTGTTATAAAACTGTTGAGCAGCCACACCCCTTCTAAATGCCTTGTCCTCTGCAGCTTAAGTTTCGCACCCAGTATCATTACAGTAGAAGCATTTGTTAAAGTTGAGGATTTGTAATGAACGTGTTAGGATTTATACCTGATGAAAAAAAAATCAATGAACGAATGTTAGAGCTTGTTATTCGACAACAGAATTTTTCTTTACCGAGGCAGCAAACTGCATTAAGGTTGCTGCTACAACTTAGACAAATTGTCTTATGAAAACATTGGCTCAAACAACACACTCAATTGAACGATGACACTCATTCAAGCCCCCATCTTCTTGTTAGCCCCTGCCGTAATGAGATCTAGAACTGTCATGGAGTGTTTATAGGACTTTAAAAAACTATATATGCAAGCCTTGCTTCCTAATTTAATGCTCTCCATTTGTGTTGACGCATTATTCATTGTCTTCATAAGGCTGATATCTCCACCGTGATGTTATGAATAAGGCGACGTGTGCCCATCCAGCACTCTGTCACGCGCAGTGACAGAGTTTTGGATGAGTTGAGGCTACGGAAACGACAACGAAGACCTGATCCTCTTATCTCACAGCTCCTCTTTCTTGCTCCAAAGGTGCCATTACAATATGTTCCCTGCCGCACATAGGTCTTTGCAGTGGTCTACAATATGATTTGTCTTGTGTAAGATTTCATAATATAATGCAAAACTTTTTTGTTCACCCCACATATCTCTTCGTGGTGTTAGTAGTTACAGAAATGGTAAGTGCCACACCATGGCACTAATCAAACAGAAATTGTTGTGCTAGTCTATTAATTCTTTTGCAGTTAGAATATAGTGTGCTTAAAGTTGAGTTCTTGTCTACTATAGCAATTGGCCTTCGTAGCATCTCGCTGCTTGTTCTGCATGTGGTCTGTTCTTGTCCAGAAATACCGTCTGCTTTTGTGATTCTTGAAATAATGGAGTGAACCGAGGTGATGTATGTAGTACACACCATAGTGGTTTAAACTCTGAACATTGCTGCTGCTACAATAGTTTCTTTGTACTTCCTTTTCAGACATACAAAAAAGGAGCCAAGTGGAGCTGTTCATGGGCCATGCACACAGTTTCATAAGCGGATTTTCAGCACTTTTGACAATTATGCTTCTGAATACATCTGAAAACGTTGTGTTCGAAGAAGTGTGTAGTAGTGCATTTCATTGTTCATTTGGCATGCTGCAGCAGGTATGACACACATCTGCAAGATAACGCAGCACAGTGCATACACACAAACTACCCCTCCCCCATATACTCTGGATTTGCGGCTTAACTGTAAATTGCTTACCCTGACCTTGCACAACAATTATTAATAAAATGACATGAAAGCTTCGCCATCTATGCAGGTAGTGCTCTCAGGAAATGCTGGCAATAAGTGTGCAAAGTTCAACCAGTCCACTGGTCACATATTTTCTTGTAAACCTTTATAAATAGAAGGCCGTGGTTGTTGGAAGCTGATACATTGTCTCGAATGGACCGCGACTCCAAAACTTTTCTATTTTTTTACCTTTGTACATGAGGTGACATAGTCAAATTGCTCAGGCTGCAACTATGTCTTGTCACTCAGCAATGTTCAGCAAGCTCTGTGTCAGAACATGTAGTATGGAAAACTTAAGCAACATCCTTTTTACATTCTTTATGTTTCGGTGACCATTCTTCATTTGTTTTGCCCATGAAAGTTGCATCGCAGTTTTCGTTTTATACTTTACTGATGACCTCACTCAAATCTTGTGTGCTTTTCGGTATACCTTTGGATATACGTTCACGGACTGCACAGCTGCGCATGATCAGAGGAAGGTTTCTATAAAATACACTGGGGTATTGCAATGCCACTCCCATTGGCAAAATAGGCAGAAAGAGTTCAGAGGTTTAAAGACTGCAAAGGAAGGATGCTGCTGTTGCCACTAGTGCAGCTTGTTCCAATATTGAGTTTATCTGCTGGACAATAAGCCGTAGCTTCTATATAAACAGTGCTTGAAAGTTGCATGGAGACAGATTGGGGGGGGGGGGGAGGACTTAGAATATTGGTTTATTTGTTGTCAACCATTAACTTCCAAGAACAACATGTTCACAAGAATGTATATTGCTAAAGAACTGGTGAACCTTCACTGACTTCTTGCCAACATATGCTGCAACTGTCACCTGCTAAGGTGGCAACACTTCTATGCAACTTTATTAATTGTAAGTCCAAGTAAACTTTTTACACCTATTATTTCACATGTAGTTTGGAACATCTTTGCATGTACAGATTGGCTCAACAAAAAGAAATCTGCGAAATGGTGAAAGGAAGTATGTAATGTGAACTTAGCACGTGTACATTTTTGGCCTTGTTGGTGTAACATATTCATAAATTTCAGCGTAGCACTTCAAATTACAAAGATGGGACAGGCCAAACATACACAAGCCTGTCCCATCTTTGTCATTTTAGTGCCGCGATTAGCTCTATAAGCATCTTATGTGCTCTTTGTTCCTTTGTTTGCTGACCACTGCATTCTTGCATTCTTTGTGTAGAGTTTTGTTCAACTGGGCTCCTGTTCAATTTGTTGTTGTGTGCATAACAAACAGCTCCTTTAGGGAGCTAGCCATAAATTACTGCATTCATTCCACAAAATTATGCTACCTGTGCAAAATATATAATAGGTTGTAATCATTCTATGAACTCTGTGTTCGCTTGCAGATGAAGGTGTGCCCAGAAACTAAATTAACAGCGTGTCCAGCTAATAGAACTCCGTCAAACAACACAAATATCTCACATTCACAGGCAGTAACATCGCAGCAATATCACGGAGTACAAGTCTGCACTAACATCAGGCGTCAACACCGTAATGAGTTTGTGTGTTAAAGCCTCCTACCTTTTACAAAAAGCACACACGTTACTGCACGTACTCCCTTAAGACCACGTAGTTGGGTGCATAGCAAATTCGAAAATATCTCCCGTGCATTCGTGCTCGTGATTAAAAGAATGCTACCAATTGCACAGAATGCGGCCATATGCGAAAGTTTCACCAACGCAAGCCACCTTCAGCTTTATCAATGAAACTGTGACAATACAGAATTTCAACTTTTTCACTAACATCATGTATACAAAAAATAGTGTGCGCTAAATGACTGAAGTACGCGCTAGGGGCAGAATATCGCTATCGTGCTAAACTTTTTGAGGTGTGACTTAAGGGTTTCGCTTTTTTTTTTCTGCATATCCCAAAAATCTAATGTTTTTTGGCTTGCAGGGAAGAGCACTGAAAAAATTAATTTTATATTTCAGCATGGCGTTAAACAATAACGGAAGCTGAAGAAGGACATGACTGCCGCACTTCTCTGTCATTTGAGATGTTCAACAGTGTGTTCAGATAGTATTATGTATTATCAACATACCTAAGCCTAAGTTATTGAAAGATCGCATCGCTTGTCAGGGCAGTTCTCGAAAGCAGTTACAATCATTTTCTGGTGAAGAAGCAAGGCCGAGTCTTTGTAGATGTTGGCTAAAGCAGTCATGCGCATGTTTTATGTACAACTTAGTGACGTAATACCTCCAAGGCTGCAACGTAGTGAAGCAAGAAATAGGAGTTACCAATGTGCTAGTTAACATTAACTGAATAAAAAAGTGCCAGGCCTGTGCGCAACGTGCAGCACCGTCATAGCGAAAGCTACAAGAGTGGCCTTGCAGAGCAATCTCTAAACATTACTTGGGTAACTGCTGCAAGCACACTTGCCGTGCACCCACTATGCCATAAATACTCAAAATGCTTGTGTAGCGCACCAGCATGCAATATGCTATGCTTCGTAATTCTTCGGAGAATCGTGGTATCCGCTGCACACCTGCTGAAAATTTGGGAAATTTTTTTATGCAGTGGCTGACGACGAAGAAGAATTATGCCTGAAATGGGTATATGCACCACAGTTAATAGGTGGTCAAGAAGAAGTTTTCTAATGAGTATGAGCATTGCACGAACCACTTTTTACGCGATTCACATTGTGTTAAGCCTGGTTGTTTCTTTATTGTTCTAAAACACTTTATTAGTCATAATAAGACGTTTCCTTACCAAACATCAAGCCGGCGAAATGCCAGTTTAGAAACAAGTTCCAAGCATCGGCGTGGTTCAGTGATAGGAGACGGGGCTTGCACGCAGCGGACCCGGGTACGGATCTCATTGTGTCCTTTCTTTAATTTACTGAGTTTTTTTCTTCTTCTTTGCGATATTGGTTACGGACAAAAGAAGCAGCGGCGGCGGACAACTACAGCGCCACGCGTGACTTGAGTGCTGATCTTGTAACAGCTTTTGCTGTAAAATGACCTGGACAAGCCACGCTGTGCACAGGACACACAAGCGGTGGTCATCTAGAATAACGGAGTGACAACGAAGACGAGGGAAAGACAACCGGCTGTGTCAGTAAGTTACATGGAAGGAATAGACGAAGCAATTGGCAGGCTTAACATGTAATCAGCTCGAACAAGCTCGGATATATTGCATATCGTTTGACGTAAATGTTGCAGGCCCGTGTGCTCATGATTGGGTGCACGTTAAAGAACCCCGGGTGGTCGAAATTCCCGGAGCCCTCCCCTACGGCATCCCTCATAATCATATCGTGGTTTTGAAACGTTGAACCCCCCCCCCCACCCATATCAATACTTATCGCTTGAGGAGTTGTTGATCTTGCAGTTGGCATACTATAAGCTGCCAATAATAATGCTGATATTGAGGGCGACGTTTCTGATGGGGATATACTATCTTGATGCCGGGATTTTACGATATACCCACAAACCAACGACAACCGTCCCTCGAAACCTACCGTCTTGCTTTAATCTCCACATGGCTTGTCTCACAACCTTCTTTGGTTTCTAGTAATCGCCTGCAACTAAAGCATTAAATAATCCAATACCTGCTGTATCGGCTCGCCTTCGTTCCCGCCTGCTGCTTCCGTACCCCTGCATCGCGTACCTGCGCAACGCACAAGAAAACTTTTTGCAAGAGAACTTTTGCGCAAGAAAACTTTTCTTGCGCAACGCGTAAGAGAAGTTCTTTCTACAGCATTTCTACAGGTGGCCTATAACACGTCCCAATCTACAAAGCGCCTTCCACTCTGGGAGTCCTACTTGTCTAATGTCAGCTTTCTCGACAGCACAGCCTATTACTTTAGCCTGTACGAATTATGCGGCTTGATGACAGCCACGTGAAGCATTACTGCGAGTACTGCTCCGTGCCTTGAGCTCCATCCGAACAAGTTCAAGGAGTGTAAGCATCGGCTCCGACCACCAAAGCGCTTCCGCCAGGAGCGGCTCTGCGGGCCGGGGCTCTTGGACGCTTCGCTTTTTAAAGCGCCCTGACGTCCAAGGCTATAAAAAATGGCAGCGAGAGGGAGGTAAGTGGAGGAGCCGGGGTAAATATTTTCGGCACGGACCTCCGAAGCGATGCCGACGCAAATGGGTGCCCCGTTCGTTTAAAACGAGAACACCTCGTGCTGCTTCCCGTGTGGCTCACTCGATAAACAAGCGACTGCTTTTTCCTTCTCCTCTCACCCTTTCCTTTCTTTTTTTGTTTTTTGAAACACGCACGCACCTGAAGCGAGTTCCAGAGGATCCGAGACTGCGACATGCGTCAGAATGATTTTATCTTCCTCTTTTTTGTGTGTTTGTCGATTTAGAATATTTGTTTGCTTATAATAAGCGAGACATCCGACGGCGAATCGTTTAGAAGACCCTTTCTCTACAGATATTATCTGTTGGAAATCTCAGTAATTTTCACTTCACATGTGATGGAAAAGCTGATATTATGGTGTGCTGCTGACTTTTTTTATATTTTACTCTTCGTTGATGTATGGTAAACAGCAATTTCTCCATAAGTCACACCATCGATAGTGAAACACTCCTAATTACTTAAATGCCTCTTACATCGACTCTTTGCGCATTTGGACGTTCCACAATACAACTCCTTTCTTTTATGAGTAAGAATTGAGATCACAATATGCCTATAAGGTATATATTAGTAGAAGACTCTGGAAATCAGACCACCTTTGATTCTTTAACGTGACTGAAACGTACCCCAGGCCTCAAGCACTACTTTCGCCTCTACCCCAATAGCAGCCGCCGCACAGATGATTCGTTTCG